CCAGCCGTACATAACATGTCCGGGCAAGATTTATTCCAGGGAAGCACAGCTGTGCTGGCATTTGAAATCAATCAGCACAAAATCAAGTAGATTTACCATCTTATTATCAATAGATACAAGGGGACATGTCCATTCATGATAAAACCTCAGCTAGCAGATTTTAAAAGGAGCATTCTCAATAATGAAAAGGACAACAAAATCCATACGGATACAGTGATACATTATATTCAGTAGTGAATGACTAAATGTCTTCTTCGCAACAAAGGAGGATGCCTGCAAGTCTTCCCCAATTGCAGGTTCCCTGCCCCACCCAAGGGAGGGCAGAGGTGAGTAGGGAGGAGAAAAAACAGATTAAAGAAGGAAGGAAGCAGGACTGGGAGCCAGAAGGAGGCCTGAGTCTGCTCAGGAGCGGAGAGGCAGGGACGCTGCCTGGCCTTTTTGGCCCTGGACTGGGTGAAACAGCTGGGTGAGAGCTTTTATCTGGATTCTTCTATGCTCTTTTCCTTCTAGACTTGTCCGGCTGTGTTTGACACTTCTTGAGGGCTATCCTCTAGAAGGTGCCCACTAGGAAAATCCTATTTGGATGGACTTTTACCCACAAGGGGACAATTAAGTTTGGGTGCTTGGTTTGAAAACGTCATTCTCTGTGATTTCTGAACTGCACACTAATATTGTTAAAATTCTTTTCCATTAAAGGAAAACCTGCCTTGATGATGCAAATGGCAGGTCTGGGGGTTCTAGGAGTACCAATCTCCCTGCCCTGTACAACACCTAAGTATTAGACTGGAGGCCCAAACAAGCACACTAAAGCATGGAAAAAAATAGACAGAAACCACAAAGGGAGAGGGAAAACTGTCTCCATTTGCAGATGTCATGATTGTATTTTCTACGTGTGTGTGCGCGCGCATATGTAAAAGCCCAGTGACCTGGTAAGAAAGCTATCAGAATTTAGTAATGCCAAAGGATAAAGGTCAAGGGGTTTCCAAGGCGGCCTTATCATTTCACACTAGCACAGCAGCAGGAGTATCAGCTCTTCAGCACTCCAAGGAGCTTCAGGCACTGGGGGGTGTGGGGGAGGTGGTGCACCATGATATCCCAGTTTTAATTCAGATTGTGTGACTATAATGTAGAGGGTCTTTTCACACCTTCTTAAAGTTATTTCTCCTTTAGAGTAATTCGCTGTGAGAGTTCCTTTTACAGTGTAGATGAAAGGCCTTTGATACAATTTGTGAAAAATTTCTTCTATAATGACTTTTTGTGTAAAGGCAGCTTTCAAAGGGCAAATATTTAATTTCAATGAGGCCCAAACAACAGACTTCTTTTCTCATTTAATTACCCTGAGACTTTCACTAAATATCACCTGCTTCATCTTACTGGGTCTTTTTCTGGATTCCATTCTGTTGTGATCTATGATCTAGTATCTACCTTTTTATAGTGCTCTAGGACTTTGAATGCTGTAGCTTTTTAGAACTCAGGTAGTATACTTCATCCTGTAACAGGGTGATCCCTAGGAAAAGGGGAAGTTCCAGGTTCCCTGCCCCACCCAGAAGGAGGGTGGAGCTGAGCAGAGAAAAAGGAGAGAAGAGAAGGAGAGAATGAAGCTGGACAGAGAACAAGAAGGAGACCTGAAGAAGCAAGGTGGAGCAGCGAGCATGTGAGGAAGAAACCGCATTTGTTTCCTGACCCTGGGCTGGCTAAGGCAGATGTGGGTGAGAGACCTGTAGGGGGTGACTGTGGCAGTGTTTATATTGATTTTGATTTTGCTCTTTTCCTCCCAGATTTGTCTGGCCATTTCTTACCCTTTTCCATGGGTCCCGGCCAAAGGTGCTTTATTTAGTCTTATGGCAGCTTTCAGGCCTTGCTGTGGGCCAGTCCCTTTTGGGTTGACTTTAGCCCACGAGGAGATGGGTAACTTCAGGGTTTGATTCAGACGTCACATTCTCTGTGTTCCGTATTGTATATTTACTGTATTAAAGTCCCTTTTCATTAAAGTTATTAAATGTTTTGTCTTGATGCGGCGGATGGCAGAACCCACAGACAGGCAACCCAATTCACATTGGGGTGTCCTGTAACAATCCTTTTTGTATTTTTTATGATTGTCTTCACTGTTTTAGCGCATTTGTATTTCCATACAAATTCTAGAATCTCCTTGCCACTTTCCATTTTTTAAAAAGTCCAATAGAATTCTGATTGGAATAGAACTGAATCTATGGGTCCATATAGGAAGAAATGGTATTTTAACAATCTTAGAACATGACCTATTTCTCCATTAAAAAAAGCTTCAGAAACCGACCAAGAGTTTAATGCAAGCATGCGTCAGGGCTCACGCGAAAGCTGCCCCACCTGACCGGTTTTGAAAAAAAAGCTGCATTAATTTTTTTGAGCAGCATTTTGTAGGTTAGTGTGTAGCTCCTTATGCACATTTTGCTAAACCTAGCCCTAAGTAACTGATCGATTACACTGCTCATAAAATTGTATTTTGATTTCACTTTCTAAACCACTTGGCTAGCTGCGTAGAACACAGGAGGTTCAGCAGGACGTCTAAACCCCTACACAGAGAGAACTGACACCTTACATAATGTTGGGAGTGACCAAGTGTGGAGATTTACTGAGGGACTGAATAAGGGCAGTAATAAATCAGGCCTTGCATCCAAGGGTGATAAGGTGGTAATAAACTGGGCCTTGCATCTAATTAACAGGGCCTTGCATCTGGGATGGGACTAGATGAAGGTGATAGCAAATTGGGCCTCACATCAAGGGACATAGCAAAGAGTCACCCTTTTGGAATTTGAGTTTAGAATCTAAATAAGAGACCCTTCCCCCCATAGGGATGGCAGTAGCTGTGGACCCCACTCTAGGGGCTCCGTCTCAGCTGCTGTCCTGGAACAATAAACTGCTTGGTCAGCCATTCTGCCTCCCACCTTCCTTTCTTGGAGCCTGTCACAGAAGTTGGGACAAAACACATAATACCCAAGCAGCACTAGACCCACAACAAAACTCAGCCGCATCATTCCACCATCTACACGTTTCCTTGACAGCAAGTTGTGCAGTAGGAAGCTACCTAAATCGGGAACCTGGACTTGATCTTATGCACTTAGTCCCCATTTTAACTCAATTTCCTTTTTTGTTCATTTTAGTCTTTTTAATTTTCCTCTTCATGGTGCTATATTAATCCTATTAATTATATAAAAATATATAAAATAGCATACACATGGAATTCTAGAAGGATTTTGATGAAATAAAGATCAAAAGATGAAATAGTTACAAAAATCAGGTATGATTTTAAAATATTATAATTTAACAAAACCCAAGTCATTTTTAAATTTACACTTTCTAAACATTATGTAAAGGGTGGTCCCTAGGAAAAGGGGAAGTTCCAGATTCCCTACCCCACCCAGAAGGAGAGTGGAGCTGAGCAGAGAAAAAAGAGAAGGAATCTGCAGAAGGCAGCAGCAGAAGGAGACCTGAGGAAGCCACATGGGGCAGCAAGCATGTGAGGAAGAAACCATGCTTGTTTCCTGACCCTGGGCTGGTTAAGGCAGATGTGGGTGAGATGCCTGTAGGGAGGTGACTATGGCAGTGTTTATATTGATTTTGATTTTGCTCTTTTCCTCCCAGACTTGTCTGGCCATTTCTGACCCTTTTCCATGGGTCCTGGCTAGAAGGTGCTTTCGTCTTGTGGCAGCTTTCAGGCCTTGCTTTGGGCCAGTCCCTTTTGGGTGGACTTTTGCCCACGAGGGGATGGGTAGCTCCAGGTGTTTGATTTAGAAGTTATATTTCTTTGTGTTCTGTATTGTATACTCACTCTTATTAAAGTCCCTTTTCATTAAAGTTTTATATGTTTTATCTTGACGCAGCGGATAGCAGAACGCACTTAGAGCAGACAGGTTTGGGGCTTCAGGGGTGCCCCTCTCCCCCTGTCCTGAAACAGATTTGGTGTCCTGTAACAGTTACACTTTCTAAACCTAGCTTTGCACAAGTCACCTGGCTCTCTGAGTCTTAAGACTGGTAGCTCCTTAGAGAATGGAACAAGTGATCCAAAAGTCCCTTCCAGCTACAGAATGCTAAAGGAACAAAGCATTCAAATTACATTTAGTTAATCCCAGAAGAGTTGCTCAGTATCGTCTTCTCAGGGTCTTATCAAAGTGCAGATAACACCAGGCTCTTTGTTAGCTGTCAGCAGCAGGTACAAGTTCATTACTGCTTCCTTCTGGTAATTACACACGAAAAACCACAGACAGAACAATGATTTCAAGTAGCTTTAAAATAAAATAACTTCCCTCTACAGCCCAAAGGATACATTTGGTGGTCAAAAAGAAGGGACAGGAAAGTGGGTCACAGCCACGCGGCGGAGGCAGAGCGCAGGCGCAGCCTGCTGTGAGGGGACGCAGCAGCGGGCGAGTCACGGGGGAGCCAGCGGGCCCCGCACCAGGGGCTCACCGGTCCAATTGCAACTGAGGATTGTTCATGTTAAACCTTAACTTCGCTTTACAATCATGTGAAATACTGACATGGTCCTAACATGAAATCGATATAAAAACTTTTTCTGCATAAGTCAGTTCAGCATCTTCCCTGTCCCCGGGGTACTTCCGACACACAGTTTCAGACACAGGAAACGGGAAGAGCGTGGCTCTGTACTGGGTTACGGCTTCATCACTCAGTTTATTCCCAGTGTCTACAGGGACCCGCCCAAGGGGTGCTGGGAGGCTGGGCTGGGTCACATGTGCGCGGGACTCTGCTTTGATGAGAGTGCAAGGAAGATGGGCCACTGCAGGCATCTCCCCATGGCCAGAGGCACAGACAAGGAAATGGGTCTGCAGGGGCTGAGTCCTGGTCCAAGGTCACAGAGCCCCACGGCCTGGGCCACCCCTCATCTTTCACCCAACACTGCACCAGGCCACTTACTCCAGATTCCTGGCTGCTTCATTTGCACCCACATCACACAGTCCCCACAGCCGCACACGGAAGAACTGTCCCCCAGGGTGGGCTCAGAGACTCACCGTGTTCAAAGCGTTGAGGGTAGTATCGTCTCGAGACGCGGCGACGCAGCCATCCTCAGTGGAGCCTCCGTCACACATTCCTGCAAAGGCCGCCATGCTCCTGGGAAGAAGAAGGGAAAGATCAGAGCAGGGTTTCACCCCCCACGCTGGGTAGGTTTCAGGCATGTGCAAATTCCATCACACACAAGTCAGAGTTCTCAGTCCTACGTCAGCTCGTTAAAAAGGGAAACAATTTCTGAGTTACTCTACAAGTCACCCTTCACATCCTTTACTTCAGGTCTCTCTGTCTGAAACCTGGTACTCAGGTTTCAGTCTGCAGGCCACTGCAGTGGCTGATTACGGTATTTTGAAAGAAGAGTCTCCAGAAAACAAAGGATAGTAAGTCCTCTAAAAACCTTACTTCATTCCTGTCGTGCTGCCCATCAGTGCCTTCAGGCGAGTCAGCCTCTCCGGCCCTGGAGCCTGGCATCTCCAGCGCTCAGCAACCCCTGTCCAAGCCAGCCAGCACCAGCAGTCAGTTGTGTTCTGGTTTTACTGTTTTTGTGGGCACTGCTGCCTATGCAGAGTGAGCCCCCAAATCCCTGCAATAACGTGGGGCAGGGCAGATTCAGCCTCTCTTCTGCAGTGAGGCAGCCACAGGTCAGCCTGGCCCTGTAGGCCAGCTGCGGAAGAGTCTGTCTCTGCCAGGTGCCTATGGCGGCTTAATGGCGAGGAATCTGCGGTTGCTTCTAAGACGGGTGGCATGGTCCAGAGACATAAGAAATGTTGGTCGAAGAAGTTTTCTTTCTGGAGAATTCTAAAATGTCATATAGGAAGAACATCAAAGAGAAAAAAGACTGCACTGGGGTAAACTATTTTCCTCCAGTAGAGTACAGAGGGAATAACCCAAGGAGAATGGGCAGTGGGAACTATGCTCCGGTGACGGATGCGGCATGTCACCTACTGCTCAGGCCAGGGGCCAGCTTCGGAGCGCAGGAGGGGGCGGTCCCATTACCTTGCAGCCCGCAAGTACATGAGGAGGTCACAGTCATTCACCCCCGGCATCCACACCAGCTCCTCGTGCTGGGTCACAGTGTCACCATCTGGAGAAGGAAACGGTTGCAAATCGGGAAGTTTGGCCTGTAAGACAGGGATGAAGAAGTCACCATTTAGAGAGCCACCTTGGTGGGCAGACCTGTGGACAGTCACCACAGGTAGCTGCACCCTTCAGACAGCACTGAGAAAGAGTGACCGCATGTGACTGGCCTGGCCGAGGCACGGCCTGGCCCCAGACGCCTCACTGGGCTACACACTCGGCCCAGCAGCAGTCTGCGGCATCGTGCCAACAAGACCCCAAGTAAAACCAACAAGAGCACATGAATGAAAGAAAGGAAAAGCCAAAAATACCTCCAGAGATAACGGCTCCTTGATCAAGAGATAAACACTCTTCCACAATAACAGAGACAGGCCCTCCCCCTGGTGGTGCAACAGGTTGAAGTGCAGCACTTTGTGTGAAGTTATCGTAACCCCTGCAACACGAGTTCGATCCCTGGCCAGGGAGAGACCCCCGAGGACCAGCAGACCTCTCCTGTCTCCCTGCTGCTCCCCCAGCAGTAGAACAGTGGATCTTCCTCTTCTGCTCCCTACTCTGTCGCTGGTGAGTCCTACCACCCCCCCCCACGCCCCCACCACCACCTCTGGCCTGTACCTCAGTTCTCATATGCACAAATAAATAAATCTTTTTAAAAAATTAACGGCCATATATACACAAATGAAACCTCAAGGGATTTTTGCTGAAAACTGAAGGAGTTACTCGGTTAAACTAATGCTACTCTCAAGAAAGTCAGTAGTTGAGTCATGGTCAACATCAAAAGTAGACCAAACATTGGGATTAACCCTAAAAACAGCTGAGTTAAGTGAAGGAACCAGAAACAGGTGAATGGGAAGAGACAAAATGTGGTCTGTGCGTACAGACTATTCACTCATGAAAAGAAACTGAATTCCAATACATGTGACAACAGAGGGGCACCCTGAAGGCATCAGGCCAACCAACAGAGCCAGACACAAGTGGCAAACCCGGCTTGGTTCCAGCACTCTGAGGAGACAGGAAGTAGCTTGTGGGTGTCAGGACAGTTTCCGCGTGGGACACCAGCAGCTCTGGAGGTGATGGCCGCGTCACAGAAGGAATGAAGGACTGCGGTCCGAGGTGCCCCTGCACTGGGTGCTGGTGGATGGCTCAGGGGAAGCAGTCTCAGCACAATGAAGGGGGCAGGGGTCTGTGTCCCGCGCTCACATAAAACCTCCGGGCAGTTCTGACCTGCTGCTCAACACGCTTAAACCTACAGAAGAGGTCACGAGGTCTGTTTTACCTGGTGGCTGGGCCCGACGCGGATCTCCCCCTGGGTGCTGTTCAGCCTCCTGTCACAACAAGAGCAGAGATAAGCACCATGCAGTTCTGACAGAAACATTCACACATTTTTCAAGAAAAATCATTCCCTTCAAATAACCAGGGCTCCTAGGGGAGAATGAGCTGCTCGGAGCCTGCGAGCATCTGGCACGCACCGCCTCCACCACGCTCGGAAACTGCCTGGGCAGCCGCTCGCCTGCAACCCCCCTCAGAGATGCCCCTTCTCAGAGTTCAATCCGATGGGGCAGTGTTCATTTTAAAACGTTTCAAGGTCTTCACTCCACGAGCGAGCAAGTTGCTGGTCCTACCACACACACTGGGTCATTCAGTCTGTCAAATACTGAAGTGTCTGCACAAGAACCAGGAGCTGCCCATGGTGCGGAGGTCAGGCAGTGAGCAAAATACCCCCGACCTCTTCTCAGAACTTACCTTTTAATTCCGGTCAAAAAACAACTAACAGCTGCCTGGCTCCCAGCAGGTGCCCAAATTCTGCAAAGCTCTTACTTGAAAACTCAGATCTTAATGTTGGCAAACAGTATCAGTTGTTTTCTTTCAAAAGGCACCCTCACTTCATTTTCAAAAAAATGTCTGATAAACACACCATCTAAAGGATCACAGTTTGTCTATCAGTTAAAAATGAAAATGACATTCCATTTAAAAAGTGGCTAATTCTGCTTCTAAATCATGTGAGGGCTTCTAAATCATGTGAGCCTGTGTTGTCTTTTTTTTTTTTTAAGGATGTATTTATTTATTTATACAGAACTGGGGTACAGGCCAGAGGTGCAGGGGCGGTGAGAAGGTGGGGGGCAGAACGGCAGAGTGAAACCCACTGCTGAAGGGAGCAGCAGAGAGACAGGAGAGGTCTGCTGTGCCCTGTGGGTCACTCCTTGGGTGGGGATTGAACTCAGGCAGCAGTGGCTACAGCCACATAGCTTAATAGCATTGAGGCTTTAACCCTCCCAATAGGGAGGCCTCATTTATCTTAAGGATGACCCTATAAAGTAGGAACTATTATTACCTACCTACACATATAAGGAAAATGAGGTTAAGACAGGTCATGTAGTTGCACCAAACCATGCAGCTAACAAGCAGAAAGGTCAGGATTCAAGCTCAAGCTGAGACGGCTCAGAACACCTAACCATGCTGCCACTCAGCAAAGCGACCAGGCACTAGACCAAAACGACAACTAGAACCTTCATCCTTTACCCAAAGTCAGGCCTGTGTTCATGCCAAACACCAAAGCAAGAGATGCTAATTAAGAGGTCCAAGTTTGAAAACCATGTTATCAAAGTTTAAGACCAATTTTTATAATGCTGTCAAACAGCCAAAGTATAGGGAGGGAGAGCAGGTGACGGTCACCAGGGGTGACGGGTGGAGATACCTATGGGCTAATGGGACAGGTGGTGCCACTGGTGGATGACACAGAGCTACACCTGGGGTACAAGGGGAGCAGAAGTCAGCACTCTGCACCAGTGCCGATGCCCACCTTGGGCAGCCCACTGGCATGAGACACACCTGCTGAGAGAACTCAAGAGGAGGGCATGAAACAGTGCAGTATCATGAAACTTCCAGTGAAGCTTTGAAAACATTAAGCTTTGGGAAAAAACAAAAACAAAAACAAAAAAAAAAAAACAAGACATTAACTGAGTGATACCTTACAGAGACTGATGATAAAAAAGCCAGAGATGAGGGCCCGCCCTGATGGTGCAAGGTGTTAAAGCCCAGCACTGCCAGTGAGCTGCAGCAGCTTCAGCGTGAGCTTGATCCCCACCCTGGAGGCGACCCACAGGGTGCAGCAGACCTCTCCTGCCCCGCCCCCTGCTCCCCTTTGATGATCCCCGTGTTAAGGGGAAGGATGTCCTAAAGGAACTCTGCAGAGCCTTATGGACCCCACCCCCTACTCCAGCTTTCTGGACACTACCCCCTACTCCAGTGACTGGAAACTACAACTCCCAGCAGCACCAGGGAGAGAACTGAGAGGACCCAAGGGTGTAGCTAGCAGGCATTCTGGGACATTTGGGGGATGAATAGGACGCGATTGCATCTCGCTCACTCTTCCTTGGGAAGCAGCTCTCCTGACCGCATGACTAGGTGTGTACAGTCAGCCTAGCCGTAAGGTATTCCAGTGACTTTGTATCCCACTCTCTTTCCTTTGTTTCCTATTCCTTTCCCCTTTTGTAAATAAGCCCGTTATGGACCCTTCTGTGTGTCCCTGCAGTGTAACTGAATTGTGAGTGCGCGGGTGAGGCCCACGGACAGGCGGCCCGGTCCACTCTGGGCTGCCCTGGAACACCGGTACTGCTCCCCACTCTGTCTCCGGTGAATCCTTTCACCGCCCCTGCACCTCTGGCCTGTCCCCAAGTTCTGTATGCGTAAATAAATATTATCTTTAAAAAAAAAAAAAAAGGCAGAGATGAGAAAAGCTAAGGAATAAATAGGACCCACCCCAATATACTGTAGTCAGCTGAACCAACAACTGTCAAGAATGTCACAGTTCATGAACTTCAAGAAATTAACTTAAATTACAAGTATCTCCACCACGTTTAATAAGGGCATCTGATGCAGGATCTTCATATTAGAGGTAAACTAAACAGTGAAGTGAGTCATACTACACTTAAAAAATAAGTCGTCACCCTTCTCTCAAGGACCTTCTCTATGTAGCTTATATAAATAATACGTTTCCCAAAAGAGCGAAGATTCAGTCCCATTATTCTATCAATCTTTGCTTTGGAATATGAAAAAATAGCCCCAAAGCCAAATTACAACAATTAATGGTGAGTCATTGTGTTTAATCCTTCAGTATTAAAGAAAGAAATCCATTGTGAGAAATCTGATACAAAAGGAACTGAGGAAACAAAGCAGCGCCCATGGCAACTACAACTTAATATTTCGGTCCTCTTCAGTCCTAATGGATTAAATAAAATGGCAAGATGTTCCCTTTGAAAAGTAACCTGTTACCATGGGAACGGTGTGGTCTAAGGAATAAACAGCCAAGGGACAGAAAGGAACAGGAAGTCTGCAAGTGAATATCAAAGAGCCACATCGATGCAGAGATGAGCAGAGGCCACCTGGCCAGACAGCTCGGGGGTGGGGGACAGGGCGGACCCTCCAGGAGACCCTGCCAGCTGGAAACAGGAACCTGTGGGGCAGAGCAGCCAGCAGGTCGGTCTGAGGCCCAGGGAAGAAGCCACCCTGTAGGGCTTGTACCTACAGGGAAGCAGGCGACTAGGGTCTGTGGCCCAGGAGATAAAGGCGGTAGCAGAGGCGGGTCCGGCACGTCCCGATCTGGACCTACCCGGCTGGAGGGGAGAGCACCTTGGCCAGGGGTTCATTCCAACAAGCCTGGCCCGGTACCTCTCAAGTCAGAGCCCCGCTTTTGGTTCCGTGAGGGTGAAGTCACTGTGCAATCTCCTTTCCGCCCTCAGTGCGTTCAGACTTTACCAGGGTGACAAGCTGCAGGCCGGCTGCCTTGAAATCAACAGATGCTGACTGGAACTACTCGCCAGCTCCCTCAGGAAGTGAACACAGAGAGAGTCCGTGGGTCCCGAACGAAATACACCAAATTCCGGAAATTAAAAGGCAATTAATCAGAATCCCTCTTGTGGAAGGGGGTGAGCAGAAGTGCAAGCAAGCAGCTCCAACACAAACCTCCCCTTTCAAAGGCAGTTTTAACAAGCCCAAGATTGTTTTGATCTGATACAGTATCTCAAAATCCACATAAACAACGTCAACTCCATCACATGCCCATTAATAGAAGGAAAACCGCTCCCTAGCCCTGAGAGGATACTTCTGGCCCACGTCCCTGGGCGGGGTTGCTCGGCATGCCCCAGTCTAGATGCACAACTTCCTCAAGTGAGCCTGGGTGAGAACTTCAATGCCAGGGTTTGTCAGCTCCAAGAGTGGCCTTGAGGGGACAGTTCCAGCTCTCTGAGCTCCCGAGTTCTCGTGTATGAACTGAAGTTCACGGTGGCTATTCTGCAAGGTGGCTTTAAAGTAAAAGATGACCTACAGGAAGGTAAACTCTGGGACGGTTGCTCAGTCGCTGGTGTTCTTAGTTCTAAGCACAGGCAGTAAGAACAGTTGTGATTGTATGTTTATGCTGTATAGGTATTACGTTGCGTAGGTATCTCTCTGGGTGGCTGTGCGGTCCTTTAGACTGGAAGCTCCATGCAGGCAGAATACACCTGTGTTTCACTCACCAGCATAGCCCAAGCCCACTGGCAGGCATAGATATCTTCTTAATGATTAAACAACTTCAATATTTTCATTCTGGTTTAACCAAAGCTAGCAAGTGCTCTGTTGCAAACTTATGGTTTCTGAAGCAGAAGGGTAACCTTTGCAAGAAAAACTTATCAGAAACAGGCTAGATGAACTGTCCAAAAGAAACAAATATATTGGAGAAAGAATCAAGAGAGAACCCCCCTCCCGCACCCCGGTAATGCAACGGGTTAAAAGCACAGCACTGCAAGCTAGCTGCAACCACTTCAGTGCGAGTTTGATCCCCAGTCCTGGAGGTGATCCACAGGGTGCGGCAGACCTCTCCTGTCCTGGCCACTGCTCCCCCCTCAGCAGTGTACTTCATCAGTCAGCCTGTTCTGTTCCCTGCTCTGTCTCTGGTGTAGCCTCTCACCACCCTGCATCTCTGACGTGCACCCCAGTTCGGTATGCATAAATAAATAAATAAATCTTTAAAAAAAAAAAAAAAAGAATCGCGAGAGGGCCTCCCCGGTGGTGCAGGTGTTGACGTCTCAGCACTAGCAAGCTATCATCAGTCCCTGCAGCTCGAGTCCCGCGTCCCTGCCAGGGAGCTGAGCCTCAGGGCGCAGCAGACCCCGTGTCCCTGCTGCTCCCTCAGCAATGCGTTTCGGTAAATCCACCTGTCCTGCTCCCCACTCTGTGGTGAATTCTCTCCTACCCCATACCTCTGGGTTACACCCCAGTTCTTATGTGCATAAATAAACAAAATAATATTTTTTAAAACATTAAGAGGAAGATCTGGTCAATAACTGTA